TGTATATATTTTTTGTAGATATTTCTTAAGCATTCTTTTCCATTATTGTACTTCAAATTTATTTAATTTCAAATATTATTTCAATTCATTTCAAATTCTTATCTTCTACATACCTTGGTTTCCTTTCAATCTAAACTCTATTGTTCTTTCATCACTTTTACCTGGAAATCCAACATCAACCATACCTGCATGCACTCCCATACTAATATCTGGTTTTACCCTTAATTGCTTTCTTTTGAATTCTGTACTGTCTAATACTACGTATTCCTATAAACTAGTGTCTTCACTACTTTTCCTTCTAGAACATTCCATCAAAATTACTAACAACCCTGTTCTATAAATAGTCCAAAAATTTCATATCTCAGGACAGTCTCTCGTCTACCGCTACTACCACCATTTGTAAGTGCTTCTATTATTCTATTGTTATTCGCTACATTGTTTTCATTTTTGTTGTTGTCTTTGTTATTGTTACTGTTTTGTTATCTTGTTCTTTTTGTCACTTTGTTCTCATATGTCTGTTGCATTTTCCCTGTGCCTTTTTGTTACTTGTGTTTTCGTTTGTTATTGTTACAAATTGTTATTGGTTATTAGTGTTTTCTTGGTACTTAAATAATTTAACGCCAAAAGACACTAAATAAAGCTAAGTATATGTGGGATAAATGGACTAAAGGAGGTCCTCATGATCACAAAAGCTGACAATGGAAACATACATGTCGAGGACATAAATAAATTAGAGAAGCATATCTGAAATTAATATTGTGTATCTATTTATTACTTTTATTGGTTTTGCCGATTCTGATTGCATTTTAAAATTAACTAATCTTTATCATTATAGCTTCAACAAATCACAGTTAAAGAAAGAAAAGCAATTCTGGGGTGAAGGTTTCTTTAATTAGGTACATTTTATAATCTAAACACCAACGTTTCGCCTCAAGGTGAAAATGATTCTTGAGAGGTTATTTTTAACTTTCAAAATCATCTATCGTAAGGTTTATTTTGTTTAAGAATTCAAGAAGATGCAGTTTTGTCCACTTTCATTAAATTTTACCATACACTTTTGTTAATGGTACAAATACTAAGATGAGGCTATCAATTGAAGAAGTAGTTTGTAGACCTATTCATAATGTAATGTATTCTGTAACGAACAATCTTATTTTACATTTTAAATATTTTTGAACAATTAAAAATTAGTGCCTATAGTATTATTTCTTAAAGACTTGTAACTGAACCAAATAAAATTTCATTAGCTTTAAATTATTTTTCTGTTAATAGTCCTTAAGGGCCAAACAATTATTTCCTTATTCTGGACCATAATAGTGCTTATTTATTTTGTTTCTGTATTTGTAATTTTGTCTGCATTCTGCACATTTAGATTGGATATCTTACATTAAGCTAAAATTTAACATTCGTTAGTTGTTAGTTGTAACTTATGTATGGGGTGCCCATGAAATCTAGTGAGTTTAAAATCGCGACCCATATTCGGCAGTTTCGATTAGATGTTGATGAAGAGCATCATTTGTTTATAAATAAAGTGTACATTATAACAAAAAGGCTTTTAGGTGAAGGGAAATGAAATTTTTGTGATGAAAGGACATTTTACCTTCTGTTAAAAAGAATGAAAAATTGCATTAACCCTTATTTGGTTTTGTATCCAATTGAATTTGATTTGATTAAAGATTTCTTGAATGAAAAAATATTGATCGACTCCATACTATATACAATACGCGGTTTGAAGTTATTGCACTATATGACCTACATAGGAAGTCGTAATGAAAGAGAGCCTCAAGTCATCATTACGGTAAAGCGCAGAAAATAACACCAATTAGAAAAGTTTCTTTTCTTCTTAATCACGGGGTAAATTGAGAAATTCTGTTGATTATGTCTTTCATGCGAATTGATTCAAATGTGAATATTGAAAAAGGTATTAATGCTCAGATAAGTATTAAGGAATATAGATTGCTCTCTCTACAACCTAACACTAAAAAATAGGATTTTATGAAGCATAAAATGAACAAATTATACATAAGAGGTTTTACGTTTTTTGAAAATCTAAACCATGCAACAATGCTAGATTATATTTAGTTTATAATCTCTAAAAATATTTCTTTACTGCTCTTTTGTGCTTGATAACTTCATCGTTAGTAAAGTATTGTACGCGATCTAATTACTGCATTTGACTGTTGTATATAACAAGAGGTATCACTACACGCCGCTTTATTTCCTATATAATATGTGAAACATAAATGTAGAGTGAACTGAAGCACCAGGGAGAGTTTGACCTTATACGTGTTTCATTTGCTGTATTACTGTTTGTATACTACTAATTAATAATAAAGCTCACGTTCTGTAGCATATTAGCCGTTGTGCTTATCATGGAAATTTATGTAACCAATTTATAATTTCTGGTTGCGGTACTTTGCAACTTCATGTGAATGTTGTTGTTATTCCATTACACGGCCTGCATTTCATTAATTTAGATAAAACAAATCGGTGAAAAACGTGGATGGATAGAGAATGAAAAGAAATGATTCAGTCCTTTTGGCTAACTCATTGTCAGATTAAATTTTTATTAAAAAAATTGTTTAATAAAAATTTAATATTAACGTGAATATTTCAAATCTGATTAGTGTGCCTCCGTGATATCTTGTCGTGGTCGACGAGCAGCTTCCTGGACGGTGGATTAGACGCAGAGGCGTTGCACAGTAGAGCAAAATCCGATTAAAATTCGATGAGGGTTGTAAATGATCTGAAATTTTCTACTAGGGGGGTTTTTGAGGTCGCTGATTATGCATCTGTTATCAGAATTGAGATTATCAAAATATCAAACCTAATATGGTGGACATAACCTCACTGATAGATAAAAAAATCAATAAAAAATACCCAAACGTTTTACTTGGGGTTTCTGTAGTCGCTGATTACGTATCTGTTATTAGAATTACAATTTTTAAAACAGCCGATGTGGTNGTTATTATCTTAAATTACACATCCAGTAAACTATCAGGTATTTCAATTGCTCTTATAAATAAATTAATAGTCATATTATCATTATTAGTTCCTAATTGGATAGCACTCACGTGTAGTGCATATCCAATACATTGTACTAATCAAATAAACTTATTAACACAGTAGTAATGACTATTTCTTTCACAGTTTAGCTAAATGTCAGCTAGTCTAATGCCAAATGCAGTATTTCTAAATTGCCTAGGTGTATCTGAAAATGCCGAATATTATCATGCCTATTGACTTCGTCATATATAAATAATACTTCATATTTATTGTACTTATGCTTACGGCATTCCTCTTTCAAACTGTTGTATACTACAATGACTCCTGACTTTTTAATTGAATAGTGATAAATAAATTGCTCTTGTTTAGTAAATTTATAAAATTTTCCATTACAATATTAGTCCAGTCGTGTACGTGAATAAAATCTGATTAGAGATTTTCCAGCGGAATTCTCGTTATTTTGACATCGCAATAGTTTCTCAAATGTTTATAAAACCAAGTAAGCTGCTATAAAAATTAACTTTTCTCAAACATATCGTAAAATATCGGTTTTATAAATGTTGAATATACTTTCTGGCCAGGTATAACCATACTTTATGACAAAAAAAAATTGAGAAAAACTGATTTCGTGATCTTTAACCCTCTGTAATTTTTGTAGCCATCCTTTGGACTTTACAGAAAGTATTTCTGAGTTTAAAATAAAGGCAATCTCGCTGCAAAATCTTCAGTTGGATTTTTTTGAATAAAGAGACTGGGCATAAATAAAATACCGGATATGTCAGAATTAAGTTTATACCTAATATAAAATTAGAACCCTATAGAATTTTCATATTTTTCACTTGCCTTAACAATTGTTTCGCTATTTTGTTGTTTCTTGAAAAATTACAGAAGTACTTGTCCCATAACGGCTAATTCCTTTTTTTGTAATTGCACTCAATTATATAATCTCAAAGGTACCCAAAATTTTAAGTTTATTTAAAAACAAAGTCTTTAATTCCAATTTTCTTTTAATACATGATAAAGGAACTTTAGGTCGTGCCGCGTTATATCATTTTTAACGAACCTTTCTCATTAGATATTCTCAAAAATAACATTCTGCGTATACCATAAAGTTGCAATTGCACCATTTGCCTCTCCCCCTATATCCGCGCCTGAGATCGTTTAAATCTTCTTTACCGAATATTTCAAACTAATCGTCAATGATAAAAAAAGTAGCAGACTTTAGACACCACCACCAGTATGTGCGAGCAACAAATTAAAAAATTATCTAACAAGTCCCATAGAAACGCTTGTTAAAACATAAAATTTAAAGACAACTCTGAAAACATAAAGATTATAAGTAAAAACATACTTAACTTAAAAAATTACAAAAAAATTGAATTAGGCCTAGGAGAAATCGTTTCATTGATTAGGTAGGTACCTAATTTATGGTTCAATTAGCAATCAATCAGTCATTCTGTAATTGTAAGTTTAACTGTTAGTCCTTACTTATTATTACGATTCTGTTTAAGTTCTTCAAAGAGTTTACGCGTGAACTACCTTAACACATGAATTAAATACTTAAGCCTATAACTTACCAAAAAGAAATTGGTTGTATTAGAGTCGCCACTTGGGAAAGGAGTGTACACGGCTAAGGCAACACAGTTTGCAAAAATTGTAAGTAAAATTAAATATTCAAATGGTCTGTAAGAAAGTTAAGGAAATTTTTTCAAGATTTGTAATAAGCACATTGACATTAAAAAAAAAACAAGTAAAAACGCCATGGAACAAATTCTTTTGGCTTTAGTGTTCTCTAGCATTTGCTAATTTGTTTCTGTTACATACATATTTATATAGTCCGTAATACAATTCCACTACCATAAATTGCTTTTGAAATTGAAAAATAAAATGTATACATTTTCAAAATTATTATAGGGCTCATAACTCGGTCTCGCACTAATTACTTCTAGTTATGCGGCTATGGATTTTCTGGAATTAGACTCTAACACCAGGATTTTAAAATTGTTAACAGGATACTGAAATTTCCATTAATATAACAAGATTGGTTCATTGCATGGACCAAAATGTGAATAATACTATACTAATGAGAATTTAATTTAATTTAGAAAGTTGAACAAAACGAGTGTGTGTGTTTCTGAGTAACGGAGTGCGTATGTGATTGCCGAGAAACGGGACGTTTATTATGATATCAAGTAACTTACGGTGTATATCACTACATCACAAAAATTTCATTTTCCTTCACCTAAAAGCCTTTTCGTTATAATGTACACTTCACTACATAATATAAAACAAAGTCGCTTCCCGCTGTCTGTCTGTCCCTATGTATGTTTAGATTTTTAAAACTACGCAACGGATTTTGATGCGGTTCTTTTTTAATAGATAGAGTGATTCAAGAGGAAGGTTTATATAATGTAGTAGAGAAACACTGATAATTTTAGAGGTTTCTAATGTGATGTCGTAAATAAACACATTTTTTTACTCTTACATTGTAAACGCTGGCTGAACCCTACGAGATAGATCAAAATAATGTACTACAGTATTGTACACCTTAGAAAGGTCTACAAGAAAGTCCGCGATGGTATATGGCTATCTCTTAGGGATAATTACTTTTTACGAGAAATAATGGCTTATTTACAAAGCGATTTTAAGAAATACAGCATTAATACTTATCCAATTAAGTACCTTAAATACATTGTACATTTAATATAGATCAATATGGCCCTTACAGCGTGTAATTTAAATGAATATTTTCGAAGATATTGCAGATTTAAAATGCAAAGACATAGCGGGAGGCAGCGGCCCGTGCCTGTCTAATGCTGCACTAAACGACCAAAACACTCCCCTCCACACTTTTACCTCTCCACCTCCCCAAACACCCTCAACCATCCTCCCTTGGGAGTCACAACTTTCGGGTTAACATCCCTACTCGAGGAGGGGTTTTAGTCGGTAGGCACTTCGGCGGATCCGACACTTTCCCCCTTCAAGGGGTGCTTTTTGAAGATTTCTCCTCCTCGAGGATAAACGAAAAAAAAAAAAATTGCGCTTCTCCCTATAGCATTTTATGATTAGCAGCGATCGTACGCGTTTATCGGAGTTGTTTAGCGACAACAATTATTACCCGTGCTAACTCATAAGAAATCACAATTCTCATCTGATAAATTTGACAAATTGCTGAGCAGAAACTTAGTCTTTTTTATTTATTTATATAGCATGTAATTGTCTTTATTTGTTAAAATGCTTTATTGTTATTAATTAAGTCAAATCAAAGTCAGTATTTGTGTTGTATGACTACTTTTCATGACAATCGTCTTTATTTTCTCAAACTTCTAATTTCTAATGACAAAATATCAAAAAGATTGGATTGTTTTTCTCCTTTTTTTGATGACAGTGAATGCGTGAATATAAAAATATTAGAAGTCAAATCGCGAGAGAGTTACACAACGATTGAATTTTGGATTGTTATAACATAACATACACAATAATGTTAAGTTTTAGATACACTTTAATAATTTGCACTATATATGATTTCTGCATCATCAGATATTTATGTTTGAGTGACTAAAATAGCCTACCTTGAAAAGGCCTTTAAAACCGAAGGCGAAACTGTGGCGTGGTTATTTAAGTTAATAAAAAGCCTTTCACCCTAATTGTCTTTGATTTGGAAATTAATATACTAACTATATACATTAATTCCATAGAATCTACTCGTACTGGTACACAAATTACTGGAAATATTTCCATTTAACAACAGTTAATAAAGGACGTTTGTGTTATTAATTTATTAATTCATTAGGTACCGTTATTAATTTAATTATGAAGCTGTTTCATATTGAAGCTGATTCGTGAAACAACTAACGAAAATTACTTATTTTCAAAATTATTGTATAGGAGACTAACTGTTAAATTGCCATTTTTGATAGAACGTTGTTTAAACAATTAGTCTACTCTCGTGATTAAAAAGTTTAGCAATTGAAACTATTTGTAGATAATGATTAAAGATTTTATTTCTACAAGAAATTTACTTTTAAAACTGTTACCGTGAAAATCAGTAGGTAGGTACGTTGATTTTCGACGGCTCGAGAATATGTCCGGAAGCATGGTCAGAAACCTTTGTGCTAAAGTCGCAAATGATAATAAATCATATCTGTGACGTCCTGGAATAATAGGAGTTCCCGAATTTTCCAGAAGGATAAAGACTGTTACAGCTGATCAGTAAAATAAACAAACAGTAAGAATTGCAGATGAATGCCGAGCGAATATATAGTAGCAAGTAAATAAGCAGTACTAATATGATATACATAAGAAGTATATCGAAAAAAAATAAAATAGTTGGATTTACTATGCTGTGTTAATTTCCCATTTAACGGCTCTTGGTTGAGTCCTTTTTCTGCTATGAAAGGGCTCAACTATAAAATGTTAAATATAAAATTAACACATCATAGAAAATCTAACTATTTAATTTCTCTCAGTGTAATTTATGTGTTTAGTAAGTTTTATAGTGTAACATAAATAACTGTAAAATAAATATCGTACAGTCATACAAGTCCTGCTATATAACTATGGTCCATACGCATAGACGACATTTTTGTCAACCACACACAAAACTGCGCAATCTAGGGAATTTGCTTGTTATTATTTTGAAAGACAATGTAATAGTGGATAATTTGACAAGTTATAGACAGATGACGCTACTGAGCAGACTATAATTGCTACCAGGTGAAGTTAAACTAGTTTATTCGCGTTTGCTGAGCACGAGACGCTTTTATTTAAAAAAAAGTTGTTAGAGACATCGCTGTAAACGCATTTTAGTTTAATTTTTAGGTCTGTTATGGGTTTTTATTGTAATCTAATAATTTTTTGAATACGTTTTATAGTTTTCGATTTTGATGCCGTAAAATAAATGTTCATACTTTGATTTCAACAATAGTCCATATTTATTTTTGGACCGTATTTATAAACATTGTTTCGTTTCAAGTTCGACTTTCTCATTTTGATAAAAATGTCCAGAAAAAAGCCGGGATCCAGGTCATACAAGTATTACAATGACCGAACGTTTGTTGAAGATTCAATGGAAATATGTCGTTTTGGATTTCTGATAACAATTTTTGATCTGTGATGCATCGTTAAGATATATTTAAATAAAAAATTCCACAGTTCTCTAACAATTTTCCTGGTTGGACTTGGCCTCAAATATTTCTACAAAGGCATGAAAAGGAACCATCACAAAGACTGTGCAGTAACATAAAGCGGGTTCGGACTGCTATGAATGAAGAAACTATAAACAGATACTTCCACCGCCTGAAACTCGAAATCGATGGAGTTCCCCGGAATTTACGACGAAACAAATCTAGTCGACGATCCTGGCCGGAAAAAGATTCTAATAAAACGTGGAACTAAGTATTCCGAAGCTATTAAGAACTCCGCAAAGGCTGCTTTCAGCCTGATGATGTGCAGCAATGCAGCTGGCGAAATTTTACCACCGTATGTTAATTATAAATGTGGTGAAAT